TTACATCATTTTCAAATTTCATTTCTTCTGGTCTGTTTGACAGACTGTGACAATATGTGACCTAAGTAAACATATTCAGAATGCAGTATTAGTTTGTGTTGCCAAAATTGTATCCAATAATTTTATGTCCTATAATAAAGACTTGTCTTTGAGTCTGTAAATTAAGGAAGTTGTCAGCTTCTATGTTCTATTTCTGATTTCATGTATTACACCAATGTTTGCACATGTGTTTGTAATTATCAACAGCTGTAAATGTTTACTGATAAAAGACACATGTTAGCAAGACTACAACTATTAGAGATTTTCATGATCATCTTAACAATGTCAAAGACTTTAAATTGAACATCACCTTATCTCACTTAGCCCTTAGTCTGTTGGGGCACCACACAAGATTTGTCTACTGTTTTTCTCTATTCCTTTCTGTTTTTGCCTTGGATAGAACCTTTTTCAATGGTAGGCCTGTCCATTCTATTATGTGGTATTCCCTTCGCTTTCTCTGTCTGCAAAATCCACGGCAGCACTGGTAAAACTCAAAACAATATGGAAAGACAAAGGCATAGCCCTCGACATCAAGTCAAACTAATGTGCTCCCTGGTCATGGCCACATTCTTATATGCTTGCGAGTCTTGGACGCGGACTGCAGAGCTAGAGAGTAGTATCCTAGCAATGGAATTGAGATGCTACAGAAGGATTCTAGGTATAACATTTTAAGACCACATCTCAAACAAAGAGATTAGAGACAGGGTTATTAGAGTGATTGGACCCTATGATGACCCACTAACTATTGTAAAAAAAAAATGGAAACTAAACTCTATGTCCTTATTACAAGGTCTTTGGGGCTTGTTCAGGGAACAGTACAAAGAAAAAGAAGAAGAGGCAGACGGAGAAAGTGATGGAAAATTTAATATCTTTGCTGACTAACTAACTTTAAAACTTCAGCTATATTTTTGATAACATCCCAAGGTATGGCAGTTGATCTTAAAATCACTTGTCTTTTATTCCCATGAATTAGTTGCCCATAGGTTTTGAAATAAGTTTGAAGTCAGAAAGTGAATGTCTGCTCCCCCCATAATTGAATCGTTCTTTACTACAAACAGAAGAGTTTAGAAAACTTGATTCTGCGGAGCTAAAAAGGGCTTAAAAATAATCATTTAACATAAAAAAAACAACAGCTTTTCTTTTTTTTTTTGTACACCAGATACACCAAAAGGCTGTCCATTTTTAGTTTTTTTTCACCATGTATGAAAATCTTTAATAGAGATATTCAACGCACAGGAATGAAAGTTACATCAGTTCATGTTCAAAGAGTTGTTCACATTAGGATAAGTTCAGTTCAAATTGCTATTTATAATTTTATGTAGATTAGATTTGTTTTGAAACTTTTTATAAGGGTGATTGATATTTTAGTTTGTCCATGTTTAGTAATCCTAGCTAATTTTGTTTCTAGTATTTTTAATGAGCTACTAAAATTTCATTCCCAAATTAGAATCATTTTCATTCTGGCTTGCTTAGTTTATATCTTGGTTTTGTTTTAAATATCAACTAATAACCTAAACAAAACATTGAATAATATTATTATTCATAGAATCTGCTGGTTCTTTTGATCTGCTGCTACTTTCTCAATGACATTAGTGAGCTATAAACAAAGGGACATAATTTATTTTGTCTGTGTCCTCATTTCACTCCCCCCAAAAAATGTGAATGTTATTTTGAATATCTTTATACCAGTTTCAAAGGGATCATTTCAATGTAATGTTTCTGTGTAAGTTTCAGTTCATTTTACTTATTTTTTTTTTTTAACTTTACCAAAAAAACAACTTTGTTTTATTGAAATGTACAAACAATTTATTTCATGCTGTCATTCTAGCATCTCATTTTGTTGTTTAATAAGAAAGAGATTCCTATGATTATTGCTTACTGATGTCTGTCAGCCTCAGCATGTCTCCCATTGATCTTGAGTTGTTAATAGAACATTATATTGTTTAATACTATTAATATATTTTTATGACATTTGTTACTTAATGAAATCTTATTCCCTGTATACTTGCTTATATTCTACCATCCCAATTATGTCTAAAGCTGACATTGACAAAATAAAAGTTACTGAAATACAGGGAACATTCGTGAGTAGGCTTGACCAGTGGGTCATACTATCTGGTCACTTGAGATTTTTATCTACCTGCAGTTACTGCACTTAGACCCAATCAAGACGGTTACATTGCACTTAGACCCAATCAAGACGGTTACATTTAAAGATCAAAACTAAACTGATGTTCATCCCCTGAAAGGTGTGATTGAGAATTTTTGTATTTGTTATAATAAGATTTATGTTTTATCTTCAGCATTTCGGTGGTGGCCCTGACAGTATTTATAGTGTGTAAGTGCAAATGTAACATTCTGTTTTCATCATATAATGTCAAGTGCATCATTATTTTGTTTAAACAGAACAAAGCTTGGCACTTGTTCACCTCAAGATGTGATTCTAACTAAACAGTGGGTGAAGGCTTATAACATGTGTCAATTTATAATTCAAGTTTTCTTGCATGACATAAAAAAATGTATTGTTATATGTAATACACAATTGTAAAACAAATTTCCTCGCAGATAGTAAAGATTATTAAAAACATCTGCAAAGATGGTAGCTGTTTGAAACCTAAATATTTAAATCTTTCCTTGGGGATGCATTGCAACCTGTAATGATTTAGGGTTGTTTTCTGTATGGTCATTTTGTTTTATTTTTATATAATTTAAAATTGCCATAATAATCAACATTTAGTTTATGTGAAGAAATATTTTCAATCCAAATAATTTTTATCGCAAAGTGTCCTACATCGAAAAGGTCTGCATTATGTTTTTTATTATTATTATTTATTTGGTAATGATACAATGGTTTTACATATACAACTGTTATAACATGTTTAAAGTAAAAACTATATAAAAACTGAACTTGATATATTGTGTTCACTTGTTAATTGACAGCTTAGAATCAAATATTTTTAAAGAGATGGTGTGTGACAGCTTAATAGATTATTGATTTGTATTTTTAGAAATTCTTTTCCTAGTAGTTTCATAGGCATTTATATATCCATGTTCGTGTTGAATGTGATTGGTGTATATATATTTTTAATAACAAAATTGTGTATGACGCAACGATTTCTTGTTCAGTAGATCTCGTACATAGATAATTCTAATTTCTTAGACACTACTTACACAGTTCATATTCATTTTTTTTTTATGTTAGACATGCCTATATTGTAAAAGTGACAGGAGAGAACCCTATCTATATTCTTATTTAAAAAGATTATTTGTTACAATTGTAGTTAGTTTATCCAATGCTGTATTTATTTACTTTGAAAAATAATGTTTATGATGTTTATTTGTATAGCCTTTTAACTATTGGTGCTTAGTTCTCTGAGCCAAGTGTCATTGAATGTATCTGTGTTGATGAATATGGTGCTAAGTGTTGACAATATTGTTATGTACTCTTGCAAACATAATTTGAAAGGAAAGAAAGCTGCAGTTATTAGGACTCACTTTATCCTTGCTACTATATAAAAGATGGATACCCATAAAGAAAAGCTTCTTCTTTTAATTTATTAATTGTGTACAAGTCTATAAAAGTGTGTTTTCATTGATAATACAAAATGTTCTTTGACAAAGTGCACTTGCTTTAAAAAAACACTTTTCAATTAATAAAAAAAAGTATTTATGCAGGATAAAGTAAATTTATTATTTGAATGTTTTTTAAATCTATTAAATAGCCTAAACTGTAATGATCCTGACAATTATTAAAAATGTTAAAATTAGAAAGTGAATTAACATTATCCCCAGGTCTTGCAAAGTATTTCCTGCAAGACAAAGACTCAAGAAGAAAAGTAAAGGAGATAAGACAGAAATAAATTGACAGACAATAAAGGTTTTAAAAAAACGTGCTATGCTTCAAAGGTCTAACACATTGTAGCACAGGGGAAATAGTATTCTGTAAGTATTTGTGATGCTACAGCCTCTTTTAATACAAATAAAAAAATATACATGAACTGGATTACTAGATTCCAAGTGGACCATTGAAATTTCAAGAGTAAACAAATTTGCTTTTGTCTGATCAAATTTTTGAAAGGGGGGATTAGCCAATGTACTATTTACAGTGACTGAATCCATCTTGGTGCCATAACAAAATAGTAATACATTAAATTCCTGTTGAAGAACATGATCTCTGGGCTTCAGACATTGAAAGGAAAGATTTAAAGGGGGAACTGCTAGGATGTTGTTGGCACTTACATCTTTTTTTTATCTTATCACTTGCCTTATGAAACTTAATAATTTTGTTTACATTATGTTGACTATAAATGAGTCTGTATACTGTAAATTCTGTGATGTGGACTTCCATAGTATGACTACTTCCATTTTATGTATTCACATAGGTCACATTCAGTGCTGTATTTTCATATTTGTACACAATTCCCTTATTATATTCCCATTCTTTTAATTACATATGAATTCATTCAGCTTCTCTGTTGATAGAGTCATTCACATGACAGTTTTTGCTCTTAAAATATTATTAGGCATGGAGCAGAAACAGGATGTGTAAATCTAGCTCATTGTACAGCGGACACGCGTATTCCCACTTCTGCTTATAATTAGGAATCTTTTTAAACTGTGTTGTGGTCATGCTTGAAAAGTTTGAACTAAATTAACAGTATTTGTTGAAACTGGATTTCTGTCGTTCTTTTACAATGCATAATATTTAATTAGAAACTTGTGGTTGATTTTATTGTCCATTAGATTTGGATATTTAGTAATTCATCTGTTCAATTATGTTATATGTCACGCTCTGAGAAAATGATGAATGTCAGAGCCCTTAGCTGTTTTGCTTATAGTTATTGACTTTCACAATCCTGTAATCCTGATCTTAGGAGGCTCACCAAATCAGTTTAGCATTAATTGGTAAATGAGATATAACGAAAGAAAAAGGACTTTGTATTAATCACATAACGAAAGAAAACCCATGTGAAACCTAGACCTCTGAAAAATGGGGTCCTAATGTAGAGCGTTCTCTTCTGTAATTTCTGCATTTGGTATGTTGTTACCTTCCTTATCCTAGCTCCCCCCACCCCAACCACTTTTTTGTGTTTATATATATACACCATAATAACTCTTGGCCTTCTCTACTAGTTTTATTTGTCTCTGAACTGTAAAGAAAACTGGATTCAAGTTTTTAATAGAGAGAGAGAGAGAGAGACAAATTCCTTTGGAATAAATTTGACCCATTTATATTTGCTTTGAAGAGCTAAATGTTCTATTAACTTTGTTGACTTTGTATTGTTCTATTGGATATAAAGGTTTAGACATCTTTATATTATGAACATATTAAAATTAATGGTTTATTAAATAACATTTCAAATTCTTTGTTTACTATTTTCTTAACTCTCCAATTAAAAATATTTGTCACCAATCAGGGAAAAGAAATTGAGTGTAAGGGTTTGGGGTCTAACAGTTACAGAACCAGTGGGATTGCCAAAAAGGTTGAATTGCCAAGGTTAGCTGTACTTTAAGTAATTTAATTGTTCATGTCAAGAAAATTCAGTTACAAGATATCCTCATAGACTTTTCAGGGTATAAAATAATCAGAAGTTGAATAGATGAAGAAAGAAAAGTTGATCTAAAAAAATACAAAACATGTTTTTGGCTATCACATACTGTACTAAATTACAATTGAAGTCTACTTACTGTCTAACATGATATGTATTACAGTATAATTACCTGAATGTATGCTTTGGTGGGATTATGGGGTGTTCAGTGTTCACTACAAGGAAGAACAGTGGAAGGTAACAAAAATACAGTTATTAAGGTTCATGGTATAATTAAATGTCAGTATTCCACTATATTAAAAAAAAATTGAACAATCATTTCTTATTTTGAATGAAAACATTTTTATTATGAAATCTTCATCACTAGGGTAACAGTTTTATGAAGATAAAAAAAAAAAAATGTCAAAGAATTAAAATATGAAAAAGTCATAAATAAAATAGTCCCCCTTGATAACATGGTAGCAGTACATCCAGTCAGGAAATATATCTGTATATAAGACTTATACACACACATGCACACATATACATATTTTTTTTTAAATCACCAAAACACAGCACATAATTTGTATGTACATTTGTATTGTTTTTTTTTTTCAATCAAATAAATTTGCTTTAATGTTACACCATATATCTGCCATATTTAGGTAATTAGCTCAGCATTATTAGGCCATTAACCCTATATTGGACTTACAGCATTGATTAAATGTTAAAACCACATTTTTTGTGCAAATATGCTGAAATTCTATGGGGCACTCAATATGGTTATTTCTGGAAGATGACCAATGTCCTTCTCTGATTTATTGCTCAACATAATAGAATTGTTCCTAAAAGTAGCAATAAAATTAACAACAAAAAGTAGATTAAGGAAGTTGCATCAATATACATAATTAGTAAGGGAAAAAAAAATATACAGCCAAATCCGGTTAATTAGACCAAATCAGGACACGATGGTTTACCAAATCAGGACACGATGGTTTGAATCCTAATAACTGGCTGAGACGATTAGCCGGATTCAATTATATAATAGGATTTGTTTCTGGTTTAATTAACTGGTTGTCCAATTAAGCCAATTCAACTGTACCTGGTATTTTGAATGTTTTATTTTTTAGGGATGTTTTGCTTTTTTCATTTAAGAACTGACTTAGATCTATAAATTAAAATCAATGCAGTTACATGAGTATAGACATGACCTGTATAAATGAATGTACTCCTTATGTCTTAGCAAAAAAACTCTTTAGAAAGTAGCTGTGTTATTTTAAATAATGTTAGCTGTTAGATTTTAAAATATATTTTCCAAATTGACTACAAACATTTTAGTCATTATCTAACTGTTAGATTTTCAGATATAATTGCTGCTTCTTGTCTTGTCTTATCTTCGAAAAAGAAGATATTATGTCCTACAAGATAATTACATCCTATGTTGCAGTGATTGCCATGTCCTACATAAATATAAGAGAAAGAAAAATAATATTTTATTCTTAATACAAACTTTTTTTTTGGAATTTTAATAATTATCCGAGCACCCAAATTGTCCTTTAGTGTATTTATGAACCAAGACCTAAGTAGTCTCACTTGTAATGAGCCCTGAATTTGTGCTTGTTAGTCTTTAGGCAATATCAGAATGCTCTCAAATAGTTTAAAAGGAAATCTATGACATATATATTTATATATTAGAATTTAATGAAATAAAATCAAAACTGAGTTAATTATTAATATTATTGCTATTTTAATTTGTGTACCTCTTCAAACTTGAAAAGAAAAACAGAATATTAACTGAATACGTTTTAAAGAAAATATATAATAGCCTACATGTATAGTCACCTGTGATTAAACATACAGTAAAAAGGACAAAAATATGCATACAAAATAAATATGTACCAAAGGACTTAAAAAGTAGCAATAAAAAGAAAAGGAAAATAAAATAATTAAAAGATTTTTCTCTGTATATATTCATTCATCCATCTTACAGATTGCAGTCTTTACCTGATGTGAGTAATAGGCTACTCACCAAATATCATTCTTCATTCATAGTTGTATATTTAAAATTTATTATCAAATTAAAATGTCACACTTAAAAACAAAGCAAAAGTTTTAACACTCATGCATAGGTTTTAAAATAGAACCTTGATTAATACATAATGACAAAATAATATTCTATTCTAAATACTTCAAATTATCACTGCACAAATGTATACATTCAATGCGGTTTCATTTCCCCATAAATATACAAACAAATTTAGAAGGAGAACAATTTAATGCAAACATTATTGATATATACATTTAAAAAAAAAAAGAAAAAGCATGCAATTTTGAGTTCTTTGAATGGAATCTAAGTAACTATCCTTTGTTGTACCAGAAATGAGCCTTAAAATAAAAACAAATAGGTAAATCCACTGGAAATTTTAAAAAAAAGGAATCTTCAGAGGCAATTTAAGACACTATAAACAGCTTTATAAAAAAAAAATTAATTCTAATCATTAAAATCTCTATGCTTCTGTAGTTCTAATGAAAATCAGAAATTAAGTCTTTTTGTGTTTTCTGGTTTCAGTGTTCTTTCATATATCTAGTCTTAGCGGATGTTTATATTCAAATAAGACTTCTCATGGAGTAAATGACAAATATTTTCATACTTGGGAATCTAGCTAAACAAAAAGTCAGAATAGACAGATTTTGTAGTCTACTGATACCGTGGGCCTAGGCATCAAACAATCACAAAAATAATAAAACATTTGTAAATCTATTAAAACTTCGTTAGCTGAAATCTAATCAAATAAGCCTATCGTTCTTACCACTAGCACAGTATGAACAACACAAACCTCTTTATATAAGGGTAAAACCATCGAATTGCCTCAGCCAACAAATATTGATCTATATCTATCAGGAACATCCGAAATAAATCTTCTGTTCTTAAAATAAATGAATGTCAATACTTGTAATCAGAAGCAGACAAACAAATGCTTTTCCTTTTTTTTTCCATATAATCTGCTTCTGAATATGGAAGACTATTAAAGTTCAGTTTAGGCTTTCACGATTAACAATTTTTAATTATGCAGATATTAGGAACTGCACACAAAAAAAAAAAATAAACAGTTGATGGCCAAACAAACACGAAATAGGCTACTTGGCATGCCTCACTAACAGATTATCTGGCCTAAATTGGGATTGGGACCTGTAGGGAAAAAAAACGAAACTGAAACATATAAATTATATATACAACAGCTTGGAAGATTCTCATTTATTATATGTACACGCTTTTCAATAACTATTGTATGTCATTTATACAAATAGTTCCCTTATTATCAATTTACAAATTCTAACAAAAGAAGAAAAACCTCAAAAAAAAAAAAAAAAAAACGGTATTAAAGTTAGCTTAAATATTTTTTAGGATTCTAGATCAGATCTACATTTAGATTTAGAAAAGATAGGTTCTACTTGAATTTGATCAAGATCCCATTAGATCTAGAATTTATATGTCTGATGATACTTATGAAGGACTCTGTCAATTATAATCGAGCTTCTATGTGTAGCTCTATACGTGGGATATTGAATATTGTAGTCATTTAAATTTCAGAGAATATTATGAACATTTATTTACTATCTACACCAAGGTTTAGATCCAAATCTAGACTCAAGACAAAATATTATTTCGTGGTGCGCGCAATCAAAACCAAATTTAAAAAAAATCATTGTTTCTTTCTGAAAACAAACTATGCTAACACTTAAATTAAATTTATGGGAATATTATTTAGGCTTAGATCTTCTTAGTTGTAATGCATTTTTAAGTGTTAGAAAGTAAAAAGGCAAATAATTTAAAAACAACAGTAAGAAAAGGGAGCAGCCATTACGGTAACAATTGAAAATCCTACTTATTTGGCAACATTTTCTATGAAAAGGTCAGGTCAACAATACCGCCACGTTTCAATGCAGGCAAAGAAAGTTCTAGGCCTAGTCTAATTTTTTTTTTAAAATCCATAATGTTTGTATTAGAAAGAGTAATAAAAATATTTTGTATGAAATAAAAACGAATGCTTTTATGCTACTGTAAATTACTGGATTTATAGAGATATCTAATGTCAATTTCAACTAGATATATATGCTTGGTTAAAACCGCATAGACGTAGCAGAAATACATAGACTAGAGCTAGAGATAGACAAGTCGACAAGAATTGGTTTCATTTGGGGACACAAATTTCTATACGTATGAAAACTATGATTTTCAAGTTTGAAAACAAATTTTTTGCACTGAATCAAGATCTATTTTTGTTAATGGTTTCCCTGAACTATATAGATCAAGACTCTGTGGCTGACTGACGTCTTATTGCTTCAAATGTTTTTAGGGATACTTGTTTTAATCAGAATGTCCAAATAAGCGAAAGCTTAAAACAATTTTATAACAAAACATGATCATGATGGACACCTGCCATAATATATAAGATAAGATACGCATACGTAAAACTATAATACTAATAATAGTAAAGAAAATGGTTTAATAATTATTGCGCTTATGGTATAGATCTAGAGACGGCTATGGCTATTCTTATACTTGCTGAAAATTGCTGTATAATGCAACCCTCTATCAGCCAAAACTTTGCGATTGAAAAAATCTATAAGTTGGTCCAGCAGGCCTATATATATATATATATATATATATATATATATATATATATATATATATATATATATATATAGCCTAGGTTTATGGTCAAACCTAGAATGCTGTTCAGTTCAAACTTGTCTACATATGCTTCAAGATACCTCTGTCAGTTGTTTTTTTAAACCAAGATCTATAAGGTTTATAATCTAAACT